TTTTATTCATATTTGATTTATATTTGTTACTCTACTGCCAGTAACTCCTTTAAATCAAACAACAACTAGTAATCTAATATTCACATATAACCCCGCCCAAATGCGAAATTAGGTTTTAATTCACGCAACAACTGCAAGTGACAAAATAAAAAACGACTGAAAATAACACTCTTGTCAAAACAGTCGGGTTGACGATAAATTATGACCAGCAAACGAAAATATTTTTGTTGACGTGTTTGTTGCAAGTCCATTGCGAAATGCTTGCCCTACAATTTCCGCCTCCATGGAGCAACCCATTTTTCCCTTTTCTACAAAAAAAAAAGCCGCAAAAGACAAATTGAATGTCGTGTTAGCCGATTCATGAAAAGAGGTTTAAGAGAGAAAAGAGTCACGGTCATGCCTGTTATTCAAAGCCTCATACAAATAAAGCAAAAACTGTAACTAAACTGAACTATTGAACTGTGAACTGAAAACTAAAACACACACAGAAATATCAGCCCAAAAAACTCATTCGAAAACACAGTCGACCTTCATTGAACTGGATATTTCCCATCATGCTACTTGCTACTTGCAATATTAATAGGAAAATTTGTTTATCGATAAATTTAATCTATAGTTCTTTTAAAAACATAACATAAATCCATAATTAATTATAGTTATACAAAATACAATTGAAAATATGTGATTATAATTATATGATTATAATGTGCATAACAAATAATCTTCTAAAAAATAAATAAATAAATAAAGTTCGTCTAGAGACTTAGCAGGGGTACGATTTACCGAATTCGGACATATTTAAAATCCGTTTAATCAAAACTGTAAGCCATGTTATTGTGTATCAAAAGATTTTGTCACCTTTAGAAGTTTTACTGTCTTTTGTACATATATAAACGTATCTGAAACCCATTTGTGCATTCTAATTCGTCAAACAAAGGCTGATTTATAAATCAAAAAAAAAAATCAAAGATGACTCTAAAAAGGAAATAAAGTTGGGTTTTTGATGTTTTGGAACCTATTCGCAGTCACCTGCTGTGCTGTATTGTACCACCTGTACCTGGTGTAAATAGTTCAGGTGCTCGATGTAATCTCTCCCACGAACACGCACTCGCAAACCAGAAAAGGTCAAAGGGCAAATGTCTTCATTCAAAGTATATATTGATGTTGATGCATTGGCCGGCTGATCATTAAAAATTTAACATAAATCTTTTGAGTCAGTCATGCCACTCTGGGGTCCCTTCATCCGTGTGAGAGTGTGTGTAAGTATCTGTGTGCGGCTGTGCCTGGTATATGTATGTTATGTGTGTCAAAAATTCGCTTCAAATTGCAAGCCCATTACACACATCTATAAAGTATAAGAGCCGCGATTACAGAGCCAAGGCAACAGAAAAACTCCGGCCAACGAGAACACACCCACCAAAAGGTGCTTAAGGTGTGTGTGTGTGTCACTGACAAGTGTCACCATCGTTGAATGCACAGTGGAATGGATCAAAAAAATTTTAATTTTTACTATTTTTCTCTAATAAGTAAGAAAGTAATTAGAATGTTTTCTATTTCAAATCGATTGAAATGCACTTGGCAAAAAGCTTATACAGACTCTCAAGGTTTCCTGGTACAAACCCAATCCTATCCAAAATATTCATTTGAACCTTTTATATTTGTGTGATCTGTTAGTAAAGATAACAAATATTTTGAGTTGACATTGCGGGTTTTTTGGTTTTCGAAAACATTTATTGCCACCAAAATCTACCAAATTTAAAGATGGTGTTCGGAGCAGAATCAAAATGAATGTAAATAAATATGCAAACCACAAAGAAGCCCATAGTTCTTAAAACTTTTATATGCCAGAGCTTTTGTCTATAGACTGCCTATTAATACACGGCATTTCGTATTTGAAACCCATCTATTAATATTTTAAAGTAAAGGGTGGTAAATTTGTTGTTTCCTTGAAACATATGATCATAAGGTTCTTTCTCAACCAACTTAGAGAACATATTTATACCCTTGTTGTTAGTGAAATTGAAATAACAAAAAGATTTTAAATATAAAAACCTCGGATCATATTTTAGATTTATATTACAATAGCCTCACCATTTTGTTCTTGTTGGATGGTTAGGGTAGATAAATGATCGGCTTCAGTACAGTGCCAAAATTCAGTTAAGCTGTCTGTTTAAATTGATGACAAATTTGTACAGTGACTAATATCCGAGTATTGTATTCAAGCGCATTCGAGACCACTGTTAGTCTCGACTTTTGCTATTACAAAAGTTGTCTGTGTGCCAGCGAGTGGCACATAAAAACCAAAGTTCCCAAAAGAAACCCAAAAAATTGACATGCACTTTTTGACAGCTAAATCAATAAGCATAATTTTTGGCCATGTCAAGAGTGGATTCCACTGCACTCAGACTCGCTTATTGAATATGGCATATAAAATAATGCGGCGTTAAATTCATAATGGGCGGTCTCTCTTTCTGGCATTTGGCGGGTTGACAAAAATCTGCATTTAATTAATGTCCGCGGTCAACAATGATAATGATTATAACTTAATTTCTGGTTGATTTCGGAATTTGATAGATCGGTGTTGGAATCACAACTTGTGGCTGGACATTAAACCTTTGTGTGCGCTTGACACCACGTAAATCTTTTTTGCAGTCGCGTCACAATTTATGACATTCGAATTGTTGAAAGACAGGGAAGACGGCAAATTGAATGCCAATGCCAGGCCAGCAACAATAAATCTAAATTGATTCGATTGGCATTTTGAAAAGCCCAGTAGCAGACCCCTGATGTCCCCTATATGATTAATTTTTTCTCTCTTTTCGTCTTCGTTAAATGTTAGAAATTTCCAATGTCTCCAGTTGCACTCCGTTTGCATTATGCATGAGAAACGAGATTCGGTGTCGGTTTCTTCAGTTTCTTCAGCTTGTTTGCTTGACATGCGGACAGTGCTTTAGTGCGTTTCATCAATATTTCATTTTCAGCATTTATAAACGATTTCCTTTTATTACACAATTTTATTTCCATTTTATTGGACTCCGATTGGGAACAAAGCACTCGTGAAGTCTTCAAGCGAGACTCACGAACATTAACTTCGCACTCAAAAGGTGTTTTATATATGTACCGGGGCTCATACTCGCCTTTCCAGAAGGGCGGGGCTTTATCTGACAAACACTAACACTTTCGCTTTCAATAAAAAAACCCAAAAAACTCGATTTGTTGCGGGACTCAAAGAGGCTTTAGAGCTTTACAATACCGTAAAACAGAACATTTAAGTATTTTTAAACAGCTATCCCATGCTAATCCCATTTGAATTTATTGCCTTTGATTTAATTTTAAGTTTCCAAACATTTATTTTTGGTGGAGAAGGCAAATCAACGGAACAAAGTCAAGGTTATCATGGGGTCTAAAAATAATTAAACGCATATTGAGTGGGCAGTGAATTTAGATTGAGGTATATATTGTGCAAAATAAGAAATATAATAAAGATATGTTTGTTTTAGTGATTCATAAATTATGTTGCGTAACTGCTAAAATGTTTGAATATACATTTTTGCTTTTAAGTATTTTGTAAAAATTTAATATTATTAGTTTTTTTATAAATAGCAAGTGTTTGAATGTGAAATTACATGCTGGTAAAAGAATTAATATGGGACCTTATCTTAGTTATTTGAGTGCCGCAACCTAAATCATGAGCTTCAATGTCATGATACGCAGTGGACTGCTAGAACTGCTGTCCATGAATTAATGGGTCTTTCATCAGTCATTTAAGCTACCCAATTTGCATACTGCATCCGTATCTAACCAGCTACCTTCGCTGGCCATCCTTACCACTTCTCCCCCTTCCCCCTTCCATCGACCATCCCACCGGTGGTGCTCTGCACCTGCTGCTCAACGGAGTGCGCTTCATCGACCGCAAATCGCAGATAGCTGGAACATTGAGCCAAGCCCCTCGAGGTCAGCTCATAAACTAAACGCTATCAAAAAGCCAAATGCCTGCTGACTGGCTTGGTTAATCACTTCATCAACGTCCAAATCGCCAGCAAATCAACCAGAAATGGGTGCTGTGCAGCGGGAGGCGGGTAAATGGATTCTAGAGTCGATGGCAAACAAATCTCGGAGTCATCAAAATCATTTTTTCCATACTCTAACAGAGAGTTCTTCAGGCTGGTGAAGTGTTTTCTTCAATTCAGATGAGAAATATAAGTGTGTTTGGCTTTAATTTTTATTTTACTTGCAAATTATGTGGATCTTCAAAGAATTTTTTTGCAAAGACATGCATTAAAGAAGTTTCTGAAACCTATTGTGTATTTTGTATGTCTAACAGGTTATTTAAATCTCCAAATTCGAGGCGAGTTTTTTACTTTTTTTGTGTTCGGTCGTGGTTTTCGTGTCCACCGCGGGCAAGTTGCAAGTTGCAACTGCCTGGCAGTCTGCACTCCGTGGTCTCTGGTCGCAAGTCCGTAGTGTCGGTCTTCGTCTTCGTCTTCTAGTTAAAATCCCTGCTCTACGTGGCTCGAGTGTGCTTCGCGGTTGCCAGACAGACGGCGGTTGCCAACTAATAATTGCCGAAGGCCGGGGAAAATAGCAGAGGGCGGGGGTCGACTGGCAAGCGAATTTGCACAAAGTTGCAAATCATTTGACAGGCGGTGGCTGGTACAAGATTTTCGCTCTGGCTCCGCTTTTGTGGGCTTTGCATTCCGCTCGGGCGTTTGTTTGCTTTACGCAAATCTTTGGCTGCTGTTGCCACTTCGATGATGTCATATGCAAATAAAAAATAGATAAAGAAAAGCCACAGACAGATGCCAAATTTTCGTGGCCAATCTCGGCCGGGGCATGGAAATGACAAAGGTGATGCTAATGGTGATGGATATGGCTGTTGATTATGTCTCCCTCGATCGGAATGCTGTTGCGATTTGTTTGTTTGCTCCACCGAGTGTTTGTCGGTGATTTATGCCAAATATTTGACTAATTCTTATCGCATTTTTTGCATCTCTTTGCAGGTGAGTTCTGGCAGTGACATTTTCGAGATTGATTTTGAGGAATGCCCAATGATTTGAAGGTGGATATGGTAAGCCAAAGAGACCATTCAAATTCCCAGATAGTTATCGGATTGCTGCCTAATTTGGCAAGCATTCAAGCGAATTGAGGCAATATATCTAAGAATTAAAGTCGGTCAGCTTAGACAATAAAATATGTATTCTTTTAGTACCCATTTTAAATTATATTCTTCCCATTTTGTCTATAAAATTAAAATCAATTTCAATCAATAAAATCAAATTTTTGCTTTTCTGCCTTAGAATTTAAAATAAGAAATATTATTTTAAGCTATAATTTAAGTTTTGAGACTAAAACATAGCTATTGAGGGTAAATGTGGGGTAAATGAGGGTAAACTACTGGGTAAATGTTTTTCATTTTCATTTGCTATTAATAGATTGAATATTCTGAGAATATTTGGCTGTGCACATAATTTTTTACTTCTTTAATATTTTTTTAAAGATTTAAATTATTTTCCTATAACTGTTGTCTCCATTGGAATTCCGTTCGACTTAATATATTATTAATATTATATATATATATATATTTTAAAGAGTTAGACTGCTATTATTCGTTCCACAACTGTAGATATACATACAGAATAGGGGCAGAAGGGCAATTTAGGGAGTGACGAAAGCAGTTTGTTAGTTAATCTGACAGAAAACGGTTTGTCAGTGGCAGAGCGATTTGTATCTTTGTATCTGTTGCATGCGTTTGCTTTTGTTGGTTGCAGCAACCCAAGCTCTGATTCTGTCTCTTTCTCCTTGTATCTCCCCATCTCTCTCTGTGTGCCAGTGGGCTTTTTAGTAACTAACCGAAGACACATGTGGTGAGATGCCGACTTTGTGATTGATTTTGATGATGAGCCCGACGAGGAATTCATTGTAATTCATTGAAATGCAAGGCTGATCCGCCGTGTCAACCCATGACTTCATGACTTGTTTTGGGGTCAAGGTGGTTGGATTCGCTTGGTGCGTTTACAGTTAGAACTCTATTACGATCCGCGATCACGTTTGGCATGATTTAAGCTGCGAGCAAAGGCATAAATATTTTATTACGTGTCGAAGAATTCTCGAATGTTATCGGGCGAATGGAGGGGAGCGGTGCTTTTAGTTTATGGTTAATGCCAGTGCCTGCTGCAATTGCCATATAACTTTATAAGGCTGACCCAAATTGAAGTGTCAGAAATAGACTTTACTGAAGTGGGAGATCGGGAGACTTTCGGTGAACTCAAGAAATATTTTATAAAATCTACAAAAATTCTGTTTGTAATTTTCAACTACCTTAACATAAAATCAAAAGAACTATATTCATAAAAATCTCAAGTGACGGACTTTAAATCACATGATTTACACTAAACAAGCAAGAAGGCAAAAAATGGTTTATTAATTTAGATCTTGTTCAATAAATATACCACGAAATAAACAATGATTAATGTATGAATTTAAATAATATCGTTTAGATATTACAAATTAACTTCAACTGATAATCGCTGTTATAAATCTTAATGAAAATGTATTAAAAATATTCCGCGTTCCAATATAATAAAACATGTTGTAAATGATTCAATGCCTGTACTCTCATTTTGTATTTTCATTAACCTGATTAACAAATAATAATTTAGTATTGTCATCCAGCTTACAGTTTTGTAAATCATTCCAGGTGTCATGGCCACTCCTTCGATTCATATTTACTTTATATCTCATTCTTTATTTTTCAGCAACTTTGTGTAATTCTTTTATTCATATTTGATTTATATTTGTTACTCTACTGCCAGTAACTCCTTTAAATCAAACAACAACTAGTAATCTAATATTCACATATAACCCCGCCCAAATGCGAAATTAGGTTTTAATTCACGCAACAACTGCAAGTGACAAAATAAAAAACGACTGAAAATAACACTCTTGTCAAAACAGTCGGGTTGACGATAAATTATGACCAGCAAACGAAAATATTTTTGTTGACGTGTTTGTTGCAAGTCCATTGCGAAATGCTTGCCCTACAATTTCCGCCTCCATGGAGCAACCCATTTTTCCCTTTTCTACAAAAAAAAAAGCCGCAAAAGACAAATTGAATGTCGTGTTAGCCGATTCATGAAAAGAGGTTTAAGAGAGAAAAGAGTCACGGTCATGCCTGTTATTCAAAGCCTCATACAAATAAAGCAAAAACTGTAACTAAACTGAACTATTGAACTGTGAACTGAAAACTAAAACACACACAGAAATATCAGCCCAAAAAACTCATTCGAAAACACAGTCGACCTTCATTGAACTGGATATTTCCCATCATGCTACTTGCTACTTGCAATATTAATAGGAAAATTTGTTTATCGATAAATTTAATCTATAGTTCTTTTAAAAACATAACATAAATCCATAATTAATTATAGTTATACAAAATACAATTGAAAATATGTGATTATAATTATATGATTATAATGTGCATAACAAATAATCTTCTAAAAAATAAATAAATAAATAAAGTTCGTCTAGAGACTTAGCAGGGGTACGATTTACCGAATTCGGACATATTTAAAATCCGTTTAATCAAAACTGTAAGCCATGTTATTGTGTATCAAAAGATTTTGTCACCTTTAGAAGTTTTACTGTCTTTTGTACATATATAAACGTATCTGAAACCCATTTGTGCATTCTAATTCGTCAAACAAAGGCTGATTTATAAATCAAAAAAAAAAAATCAAAGATGACTCTAAAAAGGAAATAAAGTTGGGTTTTTGATGTTTTGGAACCTATTCGCAGTCACCTGCTGTGCTGTATTGTACCACCTGTACCTGGTGTAAATAGTTCAGGTGCTCGATGTAATCTCTCCCACGAACACGCACTCGCAAACCAGAAAAGGTCAAAGGGCAAATGTCTTCATTCAAAGTATATATTGATGTTGATGCATTGGCCGGCTGATCATTAAAAATTTAACATAAATCTTTTGAGTCAGTCATGCCACTCTGGGGTCCCTTCATCCGTGTGAGAGTGTGTGTAAGTATCTGTGTGCGGCTGTGCCTGGTATATGTATGTTATGTGTGTCAAAAATTCGCTTCAAATTGCAAGCCCATTACACACATCTATAAAGTATAAGAGCCGCGATTACAGAGCCAAGGCAACAGAAAAACTCCGGCCAACGAGAACACACCCACCAAAAGGTGCTTAAGGTGTGTGTGTGTGTCACTGACAAGTGTCACCATCGTTGAATGCACAGTGGAATGGATCAAAAAAATTTTAATTTTTACTATTTTTCTCTAATAAGTAAGAAAGTAATTAGAATGTTTTCTATTTCAAATCGATTGAAATGCACTTGGCAAAAAGCTTATACAGACTCTCAAGGTTTCCTGGTACAAACCCAATCCTATCCAAAATATTCATTTGAACCTTTTATATTTGTGTGATCTGTTAGTAAAGATAACAAATATTTTGAGTTGACATTGCGGGTTTTTTGGTTTTCGAAAACATTTATTGCCACCAAAATCTACCAAATTTAAAGATGGTGTTCGGAGCAGAATCAAAATGAATGTAAATAAATATGCAAACCACAAAGAAGCCCATAGTTCTTAAAACTTTTATATGCCAGAGCTTTTGTCTATAGACTGCCTATTAATACACGGCATTTCGTATTTGAAACCCATCTATTAATATTTTAAAGTAAAGGGTGGTAAATTTGTTGTTTCCTTGAAACATATGATCATAAGGTTCTTTCTCAACCAACTTAGAGAACATATTTATACCCTTGTTGTTAGTGAAATTGAAATAACAAAAAGATTTTAAATATAAAAACCTCGGATCATATTTTAGATTTATATTACAATAGCCTCACCATTTTGTTCTTGTTGGATGGTTAGGGTAGATAAATGATCGGCTTCAGTACAGTGCCAAAATTCAGTTAAGCTGTCTGTTTAAATTGATGACAAATTTGTACAGTGACTAATATCCGAGTATTGTATTCAAGCGCATTCGAGACCACTGTTAGTCTCGACTTTTGCTATTACAAAAGTTGTCTGTGTGCCAGCGAGTGGCACATAAAAACCAAAGTTCCCAAAAGAAACCCAAAAAATTGACATGCACTTTTTGACAGCTAAATCAATAAGCATAATTTTTGGCCATGTCAAGAGTGGATTCCACTGCACTCAGACTCGCTTATTGAATATGGCATATAAAATAATGCGGCGTTAAATTCATAATGGGCGGTCTCTCTTTCTGGCATTTGGCGGGTTGACAAAAATCTGCATTTAATTAATGTCCGCGGTCAACAATGATAATGATTATAACTTAATTTCTGGTTGATTTCGGAATTTGATAGATCGGTGTTGGAATCACAACTTGTGGCTGGACATTAAACCTTTGTGTGCGCTTGACACCACGTAAATCTTTTTGCAGTCGCGTCACAATTTATGACATTCGAATTGTTGAAAGACAGGGAAGACGGCAAATTGAATGCCAATGCCAGGCCAGCAACAATAAATCTAAATTGATTCGATTGGCATTTTGAAAAGCCCAGTAGCAGACCCCTGATGTCCCCTATATGATTAATTTTTTCTCTCTTTTCGTCTTCGTTAAATGTTAGAAATTTCCAATGTCTCCAGTTGCACTCCGTTTGCATTATGCATGAGAAACGAGATTCGGTGTCGGTTTCTTCAGTTTCTTCAGCTTGTTTGCTTGACATGCGGACAGTGCTTTAGTGCGTTTCATCAATATTTCATTTTCAGCATTTATAAACGATTTCCTTTTATTACACAATTTTATTTCCATTTTATTGGACTCCGATTGGGAACAAAGCACTCGTGAAGTCTTCAAGCGAGACTCACGAACATTAACTTCGCACTCAAAAGGTGTTTTATATATGTACCGGGGCTCATACTCGCCTTTCCAGAAGGGCGGGGCTTTATCTGACAAACACTAACACTTTCGCTTTCAATAAAAAAACCCAAAAAACTCGATTTGTTGCGGGACTCAAAGAGGCTTTAGAGCTTTACAATACCGTAAAACAGAACATTTAAGTATTTTTAAACAGCTATCCCATGCTAATCCCATTTGAATTTATTGCCTTTGATTTAATTTTAAGTTTCCAAACATTTATTTTTGGTGGAGAAGGCAAATCAACGGAACAAAGTCAAGGTTATCATGGGGTCTAAAAATAATTAAACGCATATTGAGTGGGCAGTGAATTTAGATTGAGGTATATATTGTGCAAAATAAGAAATATAATAAAGATATGTTTGTTTTAGTGATTCATAAATTATGTTGCGTAACTGCTAAAATGTTTGAATATACATTTTTGCTTTTAAGTATTTTGTAAAAATTTAATATTATTAGTTTTTTTATAAATAGCAAGTGTTTGAATGTGAAATTACATGCTGGTAAAAGAATTAATATGGGACCTTATCTTAGTTATTTGAGTGCCGCAACCTAAATCATGAGCTTCAATGTCATGATACGCAGTGGACTGCTAGAACTGCTGTCCATGAATTAATGGGTCTTTCATCAGTCATTTAAGCTACCCAATTTGCATACTGCATCCGTATCTAACCAGCTACCTTCGCTGGCCATCCTTACCACTTCTCCCCCTTCCCCCTTCCATCGACCATCCCACCGGTGGTGCTCTGCACCTGCTGCTCAACGGAGTGCGCTTCATCGACCGCAAATCGCAGATAGCTGGAACATTGAGCCAAGCCCCTCGAGGTCAGCTCATAAACTAAACGCTATCAAAAAGCCAAATGCCTGCTGACTGGCTTGGTTAATCACTTCATCAACGTCCAAATCGCCAGCAAATCAACCAGAAATGGGTGCTGTGCAGCGGGAGGCGGGTAAATGGATTCTAGAGTCGATGGCAAACAAATCTCGGAGTCATCAAAATCATTTTTTCCATACTCTAACAGAGAGTTCTTCAGGCTGGTGAAGTGTTTTCTTCAATTCAGATGAGAAATATAAGTGTGTTTGGCTTTAATTTTTATTTTACTTGCAAATTATGTGGATCTTCAAAGAATTTTTTTGCAAAGACATGCATTAAAGAAGTTTCTGAAACCTATTGTGTATTTTGTATGTCTAACAGGTTATTTAAATCTCCAAATTCGAGGCGAGTTTTTTACTTTTTTTGTGTTCGGTCGTGGTTTTCGTGTCCACCGCGGGCAAGTTGCAAGTTGCAACTGCCTGGCAGTCTGCACTCCGTGGTCTCTGGTCGCAAGTCCGTAGTGTCGGTCTTCGTCTTCGTCTTCTAGTTAAAATCCCTGCTCTACGTGGCTCGAGTGTGCTTCGCGGTTGCCAGACAGACGGCGGTTGCCAACTAATAATTGCCGAAGGCCGGGGAAAATAGCAGAGGGCGGGGGTCGACTGGCAAGCGAATTTGCACAAAGTTGCAAATCATTTGACAGGCGGTGGCTGGTACAAGATTTTCGCTCTGGCTCCGCTTTTGTGGGCTTTGCATTCCGCTCGGGCGTTTGTTTGCTTTACGCAAATCTTTGGCTGCTGTTGCCACTTCGATGATGTCATATGCAAATAAAAAATAGATAAAGAAAAGCCACAGACAGATGCCAAATTTTCGTGGCCAATCTCGGCCGGGGCATGGAAATGACAAAGGTGATGCTAATGGTGATGGATATGGCTGTTGATTATGTCTCCCTCGATCGGAATGCTGTTGCGATTTGTTTGTTTGCTCCACCGAGTGTTTGTCGGTGATTTATGCCAAATATTTGACTAATTCTTATCGCATTTTTTGCATCTCTTTGCAGGTGAGTTCTGGCAGTGACATTTTCGAGATTGATTTTGAGGAATGCCCAATGATTTGAAGGTGGATATGGTAAGCCAAAGAGACCATTCAAATTCCCAGATAGTTATCGGATTGCTGCCTAATTTGGCAAGCATTCAAGCGAATTGAGGCAATATATCTAAGAATTAAAGTCGGTCAGCTTAGACAATAAAATATGTATTCTTTTAGTACCCATTTTAAATTATATTCTTCCCATTTTGTCTATAAAATTAAAATCAATTTCAATCAATAAAATCAAATTTTTGCTTTTCTGCCTTAGAATTTAAAATAAGAAATATTATTTTAAGCTATAATTTAAGTTTTGAGACTAAAACATAGCTATTGAGGGTAAATGTGGGGTAAATGAGGGTAAACTACTGGGTAAATGTTTTTCATTTTCATTTGCTATTAATAGATTGAATATTCTGAGAATATTTGGCTGAAATCTATTCGTTTTTTTTGCTAAATTTCCCTAAATTTTCCCATTATATGTAAGGGTTGCACTTTAAAGGATCCAAGTCCTACATCCTTGATATCGGTGAAAGCTTGCATTGTAATCAACTTGAGTTCTGCACCATTGCCATTTGCCATGCGAACAGGCAGCGAAGCGAGCTACGCAATTTGTAACTTGTTAAGAAGCGGACAAGGGGAAAATTCAGTCCGAGTTAGTCTTTTTCCGTCCACCCCCCATTTCCCGCCCTGTCCACCTGTTTGCCCCTCCAGCTGAGTGGACATATGCCTAACGACCCATTAGTCACGTCAAATCAGCAACACGAACTGCCGCAAGTGCGAAAACAAAGGAGAGACAGCGCCCGGGAGAAACCAATAAAAGCAGGAGGAACTGGGCAATAGTAACGAAAACAATAAAGGCAAAGTGATCGTGACCAATTGTTGGCTTTTGGTCACTTGACCAACAATCAACATCCACAGCAGCAGCAGTGGCAGCAGCAACAGCAACAGCAGCAACACCAACAGCAGCAGCAACAGCAACAACAGCAACAGCAAGCGACGTGCGACATCGTTTGGATATCTGCAAATATTTGCCCATGTTGACGAACTTGCGGACATTTTCGCCCCTTCCTCGCTCGCCCACTTAACCCTATACTGGCCATCGTTCATTTCAGACCCTTTTGTGGCGGGTGGCAAAAGGCAGAACCAATGTACATATACTATCTATCAAGTGACCGCAAATTCTGCCAACACTATGCGACTGACCAGAAATTTGACCAGACCAGAAATATCCGTACGGTTTTCCGGTTTCGCTGTCCGCCTCTCCACACTGGAAAAAAATACTTCTAGGTAAAGCTTTTGATTTTTTCATTATCCTGTAATTCAACAATATTTTGGTTGATTGCCACATTAATCAGGGCATTGTTTAATTTCTTAATCAAACTTTACCCATTTGATTTTAAGGCTAATGCTTCCAAAATTGGATTATTCTGTAAATAATTACTTTACGCATTTTTATTCCTCGACTGTTTCAGGAACATTATCTAAATTGATATATTTAGGATTTACAGGTGCATGCAAATTTAGTTCCTTCCACATTAATAAGGAATTTATCACCTTTATTTTACAGAGTACCGTCTGCACTTACTGGCCACCTCGTTGGCTTCTGTCCGTGTTCAGGCATCTTCAATCAAACAAATATATTGTAATAGGACGTGACAGGTCGTACTTTAGGTGATTCTGGTTTATTGGGCGGTTCTTCATTGACAGCTGTGACATTAAAAGAATTCAATTTGACAATTGAATTTGCGAATTAACACCAGTTTGGCGAGCGTTTTATTGGATTTTTGCGAACACAGCTTTAGGACACATGTGGCACATGCAAATGAACACATTTCCCATTTCCGCGTCGCAGAAAAATAAACCACGGACGGAATTGGAGAACAGGACAAGCGAAATCCATTTAGAGCGTGCAAACAGACAAGCCAGCCAAAAACTGGGAAAACTCCGAACTGCCATCCCTTTCCTGATTCCGGGACCTATCCCAATGCAGAAAAGCGTGTGCAGCGTGCAGAAAAACGAATTTCAGGCCACCATCAGCCAAAAAAAAATTTGGGGATGAGATTTTCTAGGTGGGAAATTAGTTCTATTTTTTCGTAGAATTTTCACTCTCAAACTCTTAGAAATTCAGAATTGCTGCTTTCTCACGTAGTGTGCGTTATTTTTTGTGGCGTTGTCGGACAAGGGTATGATGACTTTATCAAGGGGATTGAGTTCTGATGGATACTGGACAAAAGGAAGTAAATTTTTCGAATTTTGTTGCCAGCGGAATATAAAGTTTGATGAATGTCTGCTTAGGCTACAATGGGGATTAGACTGCTTAAACTTGTTTATATATTTTTTCATTTTTTCATTCCCCGTGAAGAGGTGTTTCTGTCTGATATCATAAATTTTGGTTTTAACTACTGTTAAAGTTCCCCAAAACAATGACCAGGAGTTGTCCCTATATGACATTTTTGGATTACATTTTTTATTCTTAGTATGCAAGTCTTAGTATACTAATACTTTTCGACCGGTTTATCGAAATATAATTTTTAAAAATCACATGTCTATATTATATCCATAAAAATGTATTTGAAAGTCGATCAAGCTTCATTGTTTCTGAACATTTGTGCACACAAATCGAAGATTATTCGTTTTATAGGAAACCAAATTTTTTTAAAAGCTGCAAGGGAATATAAAGTTTAGCTAGCCGAAAATCGCTTCCTTTTTGTTAAATATAAGCTTAAAAAGCAATGAATTTATTTTATTTTAAAAATGCCATTTGGTCATTTGCTTATAAAACCAAAAATGTTATATAAGTTAGAAATAAAATAAAGGTAATTTAAATATTGAAGCTCAAGGAATTCTGGCTGTTTTCTTTCTTTTTTTTATTTTTAGTAAAATATTTTCAAATAATATTTATAAATAAACTTGCTTTCCGAAGTATCTGTTGTTAAATATAATAGTTGTAATATAATCGTTTAACAGTTTTTTAGAGGTCAAAAAATGCTATTTAATTCAGTTCAAGTGTATGTCTACTTTCGTCTTGCTTTTCAAAATATTTTGTTTTGCCCCAGCGCAATTCAGCGCTGTCATACATTCACGAAATGCACCCGCATGCTCAGCAGCTTCGTCCTTCGTCCTTCGGCTCTCGTCCTTTGTCCTTGGCGTTCTGTTCGTCTTTCTCTGCGTGCTTGCAGGCACAAATAGAAAACGGTGCCCGCTGTTTGTCGCCATATGTTCGTGCCAAAAAAAGGGCTTAGAACGGGAGGAAGGGGGGTTCAACGTTTGAGAGGCAGCTGCTGAACTAGCAGCCCGAAATTGAGTTTTTGGCCACGACTTGGATTTATTTGCATAGCCGGGACAAACATTTTAAAGCTTCCACAGGAATGTCTAGTAAGAGTGGGGTCAATTCAGTTGGTCTAGTGAGTTTGAGCACTGCGGGAAATGGGGACACTTATGTTTTTCTAACACACTTGTCGGCAAATTGAATTCCTTAATTGTTTTGTTTACTAGGTTGGACGAGATTTAATTTTTAGAAATTAACCTTTTTATATTGATTTGATTAGCTTGGAGATTGTGTTGAGATTAATTGAGAATTGAAAATATTTCTAAAAATATTTTAAAAGTGAAATGTGTTACTTACAATATGCATTAAAGGCATTATAGCTATGGCCTCCGAAATACTACCATTATAATAATAAACTGTAATTTTACCTTTCGCCTAAATACAAATTAAATAGAAGAAACAGATGATATTGTAGATATATTTGAACCAGTAATTGAATTCCTTAAATTAAATGATCTATCCTCTAAGAGAAATGTCTAGCCGTGGATGTACGAACATAAAGGACTTGGCTGTGGCTTAAAAGCTCGAGTCTTGAGTACGTGTCCAATGCCCTTGGACTTTCTAATCCTCGAATGCTGACCCAGCGGAGGCTGAATCTGATGTGTAAATGCCGTCATAATGCTCGTACCAAAGTCCGCTTGACAGCCTTTCCCAGCCCTGAATTGTGGGCGTGGCACGTGTCCGACCAAAGGATCAGGAGGCTGGGAAAAGAAGGGAGCAGCAGGTGAAGCCCACACACACGAGTCCCCATGGCAGCTTATTAGTATGCAGCTGTGCTCGCTTTTCGGGTCCAAAGAGAGGGATTTCCACCTCTCCATTCACTGTGTGCTATTTCCCCGCGTCCAAATGCGTGTGCTTGACTCGCTTCAGTTTGCCTTAATTAATTTCCTGAACAATGCTGGGCAAATCTCTTAACAGTGGCTCAAATTAGCCTACACATGTGTTGCCTGCGAATAATGTTAATCTTGGATTGGTGGTAGCTTAGAAATTCACTTAATCAATCTCAACATGTTAGCAAATATCCACGTTAAGTGTAAATTTACAGAATTGGAGCCTTTGTGGCCGTTGTCCAAGTTGTTTAATTTTTGCGCCAAATTTGCAGCGAATGACTTAACAATTAATATATATATATAATCATCAAATAAAACATTTTAGGATGGAAAACTTTTGTCCTACGATTTTTCGAAAAAATCGTCGTCACATATATTTTAAAAATTTACATATTTAAATGCTTATCACGCTAAAATGTAATAAAATAACAATGTTTCGATAATTTTGTTGTCTCTTTTTTAACACAATTTTGACGTTCTTTTTTATGGACCTAACGTTGAGATTACAATTTTGACATATAACTTTTAATTAAACAATTAAACCAAGGCCCGAAAAATATTGTTATTTTTATTTTTAAAGAGATTAGTTTGAGATTTGGGGTTTCGAATGAAGAGATCACACTATTACTTTAGAAGTAATAAGACATATTAAGTGTTCATTAGGACGTCGCTGCATATTTTAAAAACTGGGTTCTAAAATATATATGAAATTATGTGAAAGCGGGAGAAAGCAATACAACTTTTAGCTAAGTAACCGCTATCTTATTGTCGAGGCAATAATTATTTATTTATTATAAACTTTATTATATTTATTTATAAACTTTCAAAACATTTATTTTCTCTCTAGTCAACAAAGTGGTTAAAAGCAGCTAAAATCAAAT